AGTTGTTGAATTTCGAAAGTTTACGTTATCGTTAAAAAATTTAGCATTGAACTTTGAAGGTTTTTGATAACGAAATATTACGTATCGAAATTTAACCGTTAAATTTTGATTTCGAAGGGTTGCGACACAATCGATAACCTTTGAAATCTAACGTTGCGATATAATTTCGAAGGTTTTCGAATTAATATAATTACTGATGTATTTGATAAATTCGTGATCTGTTTTGATGAGATTGTTCATATAATTCTCTTTTCAGCACCATCATATTACTTCTTAATAAACCATCTTTCAAATAATCACCAAGCTTTTTATACACATTTATTCTTTGATCATTTATACCATGTATATCTGTAACTATTCACAAAAGACCATCCCAAATTATGATTAATAACTTAATCTGATTCTTCTAGGGCCATAAAAATATCTGTTACAAAAATCATTAATGTATTATTATACTGCATTATAATTTCATTATTAGTAGGTTGATCAATTTCCATTACAATGTTTTCTGTTACCAAATATGCATCAGTATTGTCTATAATAATTTACACTTCATCTAAAGTTTGTGAAAATTCTCTATGCAATTCATGAACTCTCTTCCATAAACCATTTGAAATTAAAATATTATTTATTTTAAAAAGAAATATTTTGATAAAAATTTTCAGGAATTTTTATAATCTTATGAATTCTTTAAACAAGTCTATTGTATATCCATTATCTCACGTGAAATAATAATTCCTTTATTTATATGATTTCAATCGATTGTCATGTACAGGTCAACTATTGAGAACTTCTCCACTATTGGTTCTTAATATATAGAAACCATTACCAAGAACTCTATAAATAAAGAAAGGACCAGACTATCTGTTTCAAAACTTATCACCATGAACATTCTGTAAATCAGATCTGTACTCTAGTACCATATCACCAATCTTGTATGTCATTGTTCGAATTTTCCTATTATAAGTTGTCTTTTACTGTTTCTGTGTATCCTTGATATTCTTAAATGCATTAATTCGATTATCTTCGAATATTCCTGTAACTTCGCTTGTCCTCTTAGAAATCATTTCTTTAAATTATCTTTTACTAATTTCTTCAACTGGCCAAGTAATAATATCAAGTTCTATGGGCAATATGGAAGCTCGTCCATATAGTAAATAAAATAATTCATATTTTGTTGTTCTATTTTTAGTTATCCGATATACAAAAAGTACTGAAGTTATCAATGCGTCCTATTCTTGTGTTGCTTCTTTTATACATTTCTTCAAAGTTTTACAAAGTATTTAATTAAACCATTCTGTTAGCCCATTACTTTGAGAGTGGTAAACAGACGTGAGTCTACGATAAGTTTTCATTATCTCTATTAAGTTAGTCACTGTTTAACTAATAAACACTGCTCCTCTATCAGATAGTATTTCTCTTGAACAACTATGTCTATATATAATTTCATCATACAGAAATCAAGCGATAGTTTTCGTATCTGCTTTTTCAATAATTCTGACTTCTGACCATTTGATAAAATAATCTGTAACTACTACTATATGTCTTTTACCCATTGTTGTTGGCTTCAAAGGACCTATAATATCTATCCCTAATCAATCAAAAGCTTGTCCTAATCCAATAGGTCGTAATATTTCAGTTTGTTTAGGTTTATCCTGTCTTTGGCAAATATCACATTTCTCTATATAATTTCATATGTTTTTATCCATTGTTAGCTAAAAATATTATTGTCTCATTTTATCTATAGTAACTTTTATTCTAAAATATCTAGTATTTGATATATTGTGCATATTATATAATATTTTTGTTACGTTTTCTTTTGTTATTACTCTTAAAGGATCACTTTCTTTGTTTGCTTATATAAAATATTATCTTGAATTATATAATGATTCACTTGTTGCCGTATCTTTTGTCATTGTTCGTTAGAGTTGTTACCTCTGCTTTTATTTTCATATTTATTAATTATTTATTTATATATTTTATTATCATATTTATTTATATCTGTATTATTTTATTATTAATTATTATATATTTTATCATTATATATAGTATTACAGTAGATCAATTTAATAGTCTGTAGTACAAATTAGATATTATTACTTAAATTAGTAAATTTCTAAATTCTTGTTAATCTGTAGCATTAGAACACAAATTAGAGTACAAGCTAGAGTATGAGATAATATTTCAGTTAAAGTACAAGTAAATTAACAGTTAAGGTACCAGTTAAGATATCAGCATATTTACTAGTGAAGTTTACAGTTAGATTACATGTTAGTTTAGCAGTTAAAATCATAATGTATATAAAGGCTGAGAATTTTCTCAACTCAGTCTTCAGTTTTCTATTCAGTTTCTTAATTTTCAAGTTAATTAGGATTTATTAAGTAATAAAGTTAATATTACAAAATCCTTTGAGTTCCTTGTTTATTGTATTCTTTTGATAGTTAATAAACTGTTTGCTCCTATTAACAAGTCTTCATACCACTGTTAATAGTTAAAACGCCTCTTTCATAATTAATCATACTTAATTCTTTCTACATATAAACCCTTGTATTGTGATTATTTTATCTTGAGATTAGTAATTCTTATAGTTATACTTAGTTTTGTTTATTAATTTAGTATTATTTTACCCTGTTGTTTTTGTAAATTGTAGAAGATTTATACAGATAATACCGTCATCTTGTTATTATCCCTCGTGACATTTATAATACTCTGAAACTTGTATAATACAGAAAAAAAAACATAAAATTTACTTTTATGTAATATTTATGTATGTACATAATACAATAATTACCATCTGGTTCTTGTCCAAAACAACATGTTTTCATATTACTACAATGTGGAACTTTTATAATAGGAACTTGGTTATAGTAAAAATTGATTAACTTTTTTGCTTTAAAACTTTTTTTCCAAATATAGAAATAAAAATTCTAACCGTAGAAAATGGTAGCTCAGAACTTAGGCTTTTAGAATCATCGGTTAAAATTTTGATCTGATTAAAATTGATCAACTTTTACTGGGGTTAAAGTTACATAATTTAATTATACCTATCAAATTTGAGAATATACTAAAAATAGTAATTTTACCTGAAATTCACCAGAAAAAAAAATTCCAATATTTTGTACCTTTTAAAAATGTAAAAATGCTGTTAACAAAGGTTTTAAGAGTAGCAAAAAAATGAAAAATTAAACACAACTCCAGTGGCAAATTTGTTTCCAATAAATATAATAATTCTGTTGAGGAAAGTGATTTTTGTGCATCTTCTGAAGAAAGTGAATATGATTCAGATGGATATTTGGAGCAGTGACGAAAATGCTTACTTGGATTTGATTTGGTGTGAACTAATTCCGCGCAAAAAAAAAAAGACCATATACAGACAATTCAACTGCAACTTATTATCGTAAATATGGTCTTCATGGAAAATTTACTGTAGCGTCAGAGAAGACAAATTCTCTTACAAATTTTTTTAAACCCATTAATTTGAACAATAATGAAGATAAAATTAATGAAACTGTTTCTTTTATTAGAATGAATAGTGAATATAATGAAAGTGATGAAATAAGTGAGTGTAACGAAGCAAGTGAAATGGGTAGACATACTGGAATGGATAGGAAAACAGGTAGACATGATAGAATTGATAGTGAAATGAGTATATATGACGAAATCGATAGTGGAACGGGTAAAAACAATGAAATAGATGGTGAAATGGATGGTGAAATGGATAGATATGACGAAATCAGCGAAATTGATGGTGAACCAGGTAGATATGACGAAGTTGATATTGGAACAGATAAAAATAATGAAATGGATGGTGAAACAGGTATATATGGCGAAGTCAATATTGGAACAGATAAAAATAATGAAATGGATGATGAAATAGATGAAATTGATGGTGAAGTGGGTAGATATGACGAAATCAATAGAACAGATAAAAATAATGAAATGAATGGCAAAACGGATGAAATTGATGGTGAAACAAGTAGATATGGTGAAATTAATAAAGGAACGGATAAAAATAATGAAATGGATGGTAAAACGGATGATAAAATAGGTAGATATGGCAAAATCAGTGAAATGGATGAAATTGATGGTAAAACGGATGAAATTGATGGTGTAATGGACGAAATTGATGGTGAAATGGGTAGATATGGTGAAATTAATAGAGGAATGGGTAAAAATAATGAAATGGATGGTAAAACAGACGATGAAATGGGTAGATATGGAAAAATCGGTGAAATGGACGAAATTGATGCTGAAATTGATTGTGCAATAAGTAAATATGATGAAATGGATAGTGAAACGGGCAGATATGACGAAATCGATGGTAAAACATGTAGATATGATAAAATAGATAGTGAAACGGGTAAACAAAAAATAGATAAATTTAGTAATGGGAGTGGTTACGGCAAAACAGATGAATTTAATAATAGGAGTAGTTATTGTGAAACAGATGATAAAATTGGTGAAACGGAATATGGAAAAATAAATAAAATAAATAAAAATAAAAATAATGTAGATGAAAATAAAAATAATGAAAATGAAAACAATAATAATATACCACAAAATATAAGCAAAAAATCAGATTTTTTTGATTATTTTGATCTAATTGATATAGACAATTTAAATCAAGTTGAT